CTAGGAACCGCATGAATAGTGCGAGCGCTTCTTTGAAGCTCCCCCCCCGCCGCCTTTAGGGCGGCAGGGGGAGCTTCCTTGAAGAAGGGTGAGCTATCCTGCGTGAAAGGTAGTAGCTATATACTTGTTAGCTACTAGCTACCCTGGATCCCGATGCTCCACCATGAATCCTAACAGAAAACACCCGAATTCGATGGTTTACGACCAACTTGCTCAGGAAACGCAAAAGTCTTGCTGTGATCGATGCAGCTTCCTGCGTCCGATTCCGATCAAACCCCCAGCGGGTCATAGGGGACCCAGCCACTAGCTACTACCTCTGGTGGCTAACCGCCCCTGGGTTTGTTCTTCTTCAGGACGGGCGATTGTGCTTCTGCTTCGCCTTTGGCTCCTTGGTCTGCTGGGGCTTCACCTCGGTCGAGCTGCGAAGGCTCCGGCGGCTGATCCGGAAGTCCGTGGGATGCTGGGCTGACACGTGGGAGCCGTGGGAGCGGGGAAGTGAGGGTGCCAAGGGCAGAAATGGTTATATAGGCTGTTCAAAACTTCTTCTGGTTACTGGTTGGACTCTAGGTTTTTGGAATGACTTTTAGACTTTGCAAACTTTGACACATTCTTGGTGAAGCGAAGGCCCATTCCGAGTTGCAGACTGCAGCTGCACGGCTTCGCTACACGCCAAGGAGACTCGCTGCCACCCGAGGAGATCGAGAATGACAGCATGACCTTTTCAATGGAAGACTCTCAAAATGATGCTCAGATGCAAAGATGAACTCCTTCCACGTCAAGCACCCTTTCTTGGGTGCTGCCGAACTGACCTTAGTTCTGGCAGCCCGTATGAATCTGGAAGATGAGCTCTTCTGACTCAGTCTTCATGGACCTGAGGTTTGATCATGTTTGATTGATGTCTAGATCTCACGAGCAAGCAGCGCGTCCAAATCCCAACCAGCAGGGCCCGTGCAACAACTTCAAGGATCAGTTGTATTCCAAGAACTCAGGAATTGGAGGATGGCACGCCTGTGGCTCCTGCCCCAAAGTTGAGCACTTTGGCGAGCAAAGATTGGTGCTGAGAGAGAACGGGCGCCGTGTGAGTATGGATTAATTCCTTCGCGATGTTGAAGGGCAGGGTGCCTGCATCAAGCTACTACTCTACCTTCCGCACACCAGTCACCTGCCTTTGTGGGTGCTTGTGTAGATCCCGTACATCCTTGCACAAAACCACATCATGCTGCTCTTCGGCCCCCATTCTTCACAGAAGCTTCTTCCTACATGAGCTGCCATGGCAAGGATCTTCTTTAATTTACCTCTGATTCCTCAGCCCCTCCAAGCCTTCAGGTGGGGATCACATCGTGCTGATGACTTCCTCGGGTGATGAGGCCTTAGCGTATAGCACGAGTCTCAGAGTCGTCTCAGTGTCAGATGGAATCACCTTTTTTTGTCACACAAAAGGAGATGTTGGTTTGCAGGGGATTCAGAACAACACCGTATCCACAACCGTTCCGACTGACTGACCCTTCCGTCATGAGCCGCCAATTCTGACTGACACGCTGAAGACGAAAAAGGCTATGCCTTTGCTCAAAGCGTGAAGCTGGCGGTCTTCGAAACCATCGTGGACGCCAGCATCGAGAAGGCCGGAGAGAGAACATGAACCGAACCGATGGTTGGCACATGGGGGGCAATACACGGGGATATTTGCAGAGCTTGGATGTGCAGTTGTTGGGCACGCCACATGCATATTCAGGAGTGCCGCCACTAGGGTGGGCCATTGCTGTATATTGCTATTACTTCAGGTAAAAAGGGAAATGATGCCATCGTTTCTTTAGAACATTGTTTTCTTAGGGAGGCCGTCGCTAGTAGGTTGGAGGCCAGGAAAAGAAACAGCGCGTGGTGCGTGGGAACCGAGGCCAAGCCGATCCCTGAGGCATTGGCACAGTATGGGACCTTTGACATGGACGAGAAGCTTGTGAAAATGCTCTTTGCCAAGATCATCCAAGATCATGCAGCGTTGTGGGGGATTTTGCAGGGACTTCTTTGAGACGTATCGACGAAGGTGGGTATTCTTTTTCTTCGAACCTGTAGCCCGTAGCTGGTGGGGAGCTGAATCTACAATGCTGACCAGTTTGCTAAGTTGTATCTGTGCCTGGTTGCACAGTTTGTTAAGCAAAAAGGAAGCAAACAGCGAGGTTTTGGAGAAGATCCCGTTTTAGCACCACAAGTTTCACCGACACTGACTGAAAGATTTAGCGGGTGTGATGGTGTAAGAAAGGACACGCACCAGACATGCTGGGGGGATGGCCCAATTCTCAGTTTGATACTCAGAAAAAGAAACCCGCAGATCATGTTCTTTCTATTTGATGCCTGGCTCATGAGCTCTTCAAGAAGCAAGCTTGAAGCTTGATCAGGTTTCCTAGATTTTGCTCTTTTGATCCTTATATTTGCGCAACATTTGCGCTTATCATACCTCCGAAAGCACTTTCAGGGAACCATGCTGAAACATATAGGACTTCCATCCTTCCAACACCTAATCCCAAGCCTCCCGGCACCACAAGAGCTAACATAGAATGTGAAGAGAGCCTCTGAAAGACATATTCATCAACAACCCATGTTCCATGTTGCTTCTTGTAGGCAAAAATGGATCACTTGAGGCAAATGGGCGAGATTTTCGTGACCAAATGCTCCTTGACACTGCAGACTGACATGCTGGGAACGCCTGAGATCTTGTGGGAACATGACCGCTTTGATGCGCATCTGGGCTGAACTGGTGACGATCTCGTAGATGCCAGATGGGATCCGGCTGACCTGTTTTTTCTATTTTTTCAAGATCAGTCAAGCAAACAAACCTTGAAACATGAATTCAATCTTTGCTTACTGGATCACTTGAGGTCACTCGCTCTCTCTCTCTCTGTCTCTCTCTCTCTCTATACCTATACCTATACGTACACACAGTCACAAAGCCTTTTATCAAAAGTAGGCCCTTTAACTTTGGCCAATCTGAAGCACATTGGGCCCTTGAGGCTTGGATCTACTCAAAGTAGAACTAAGAAAGCTTGTATTGAACTTGATGATGTCATTTGGGATACCTGGCTCTGAGCGTATCCAAGTGTCCAAGAGTGTGCCCGGCCCCTAGGCAGTACGAAGCCTGCCGGAAATACTTGGAAGTTGGCAAGAGGGTGCGGTCGTTCTGGGCAATCTGCCAGGAACGCAATCGCGACGCGAGCCAATCCTTTCAAGAGCAACTACTGTATATACTTGGGAGTGCAAACCTTTTGATTGCCTTGTGTTCCTCAAAAGGGCCTGTGACCATGCCTTGAATAGGACGCTGAAAGGGTTGAATATGTGGTATAATTAAGCCTGTTGGGTATTGCCAGAAACTAATGCAACCCACGCACACAAAGGGAAGACCATATCCATTGGGCAGTGGCTTAAGAATGGAAGCGCCAAAGAATTCTGTTTCTGGAGTCTGGTAGAGGAAGCATTGACAATTCTTGTCCAACAGTAGCTCACAGATAACCCACAAAGCTTCTTCGCACTCACAAGACACCGAGCAGTGCAGCCAGCTGGAGGACATTTGAATTATGGGCTGGCTGTTTGCAAAGCACACCCGGTTTTTCTGTGCATTCTGTGGTGACCGCAAGCAGCAACTTCCCCACGTGGCTTTTGTCTGGGTTGCTTGATTATGGTTGGTTGATCTTAAGCAGCGGAGCGGTGCGTAATCGGCAGTCGTGTTCCACCGCCAGGTGGAGATTCTGGACCAACGCTTGGCAGTGCTCAACGACCTCTACAGTTTTTTGCAAACACAATTGGAGGTGAAGCACTCCAACAAGCTTGTCGCTTAGTCTAAATCCGCCGGGGGGCCGACCTGTGGGGTTTGTCGCTTTTGTTCCACACTTGACAGTGCTCCGTGAAAGTGCAAGAGTAGAGAAGAGTTGACCTACTGGCTGATGTTGCCCTCTCTTCAGTGCAGAATCTTCATTTAGCAGATTTATCTTGGTATTGTTATTATATGTATACTGTATACTGTATATTTAAAAATAGTTCAAAGCCATGGTTGACTTGGCTTAGCAGCTGGCAGGTCCGAGTGCCATCGTCCTCATGTCATCCCCCTCACTGTAACACCTGCCCAAATCTTCCAAAATCGTTTGGCCCACTGGGTATGTGCGACATCGTGTTTTCAGGATGGCTTTTGCCAAAAACAATTCAGGCATCCTCAATCTCCTTTCAGAGGTTTGGTTCGTTCCAAACCTTTGCGGAGCCGGCAGCGCGCAGCCAGTTGGATGAGGAATGGATCGTGATCGTCCTGATCGTTATTGAAATTCTCCTGGACTTGTTCCACATGTCGCCCTTCTACACGCAGCGCTCCGTGGCTGTTTGAGCCTTGGCCTGCACGTGCATGGATATAGCTTGAAAAGAGGGACAGGTGTGAAAGCCAGAGGCTTGTGGGAAAGTACGGAACATTTCCAACTGATGGTGTTTCACCCAGAAGAAGCTCGCTGACCTGTCGATCTGCCAGGCGCTCTGCTTTTGGTCGCTGGCGGCACCACTGCCTTTGCCAAGGAGAACCGCACATCGAGTCGCATGGATCGCATGACGTCGCAGCGGCAGTGGTTTTGGTCGGTTTGACGACCAACGGTCACAGGAACCTGCGGATGAAGCTGAGGTGGTTAACACGATGGTTTTTCATGGCTTTTCATCAGTTGGAGATGTGTCCATATTGTGTTCACAAAGATTGCAGTCGGTCCTTCAGAATTCCAGGATAGTTGTTCCAAAGATGAGATTCTCCCGAAAACAACTGCACCGTCTGTCACAGCGAATCGTCCGAACCGCTGGCAGCAGCGGTTTGATGTGCTTCACCTGTGGGCATCACATGGGACCTCAACTTCCTTGAAGACCTCAAAATGGTCTCTTCGTCGTTGAGGCACGGCAGTTGTGATGGTGCAAAGTTGTGGTGCCACATTGTTTTCAGTCAAGGAGTTCAAGCCACCCAAGCTTTGGCTGCGGCGTGGTGGCAAAAGGTTGTGGAGGCGTGGTGGACAGAGGGCCGCGGAGGGTAGGAGGGTGGACGTTGCCCAGGACGTGTATTTTGGTGGTAACAGTAAGGGTATGAAAGATCTAGAGTTTCTGGATGAAACCGTTGAGTGTTATCGTTCTGACTTTCATCCTTGATTTTTTCTCCTATGAGTGAGATTGTCTCAATAAGTTAATCAAAGGAATGCCCCAGAGCTTCCCTGTCAAAGTAGAACAGCAGCTGGTTGGGGTGTCTCTTATTTTGTGACAAACCTTTTTTAATCTTGGTCCCGCCTTGCCACACGAGTTTGCATCCTGCTTTCACAAGTGTGAGCAGCAAACATTCAAACTAACCTATGGTCCATTGCGGTCGTTGCGTCCTTTACTTTTCTGCTTGCGGAAGGAATTGTCATGAGAACGTGAGTTGGCATGTACAAAAATATGCAAATCGCATACTGTACTGTCCTCAGATGACTCAGATGTAGTGCTTTATACTCTAGTATTTTTTTGTTTTTCATAGCAGGTAAATAAATACCAATAACAATAATATAATATTTATATCGCCAGGGTGGCGCTCATGACTCTGCTGGTGCTGGTTGCCTGGCGGGCGCCGCGCGCTGGGCCGCTGCTCTTCGCAGGCGACCGACCCAGCGACGGAACGTCCGGAACGTGCCCGTTCGCTGGTGCTGCGGTTCTGCTGCTGGTTTGCTCATCCACTGTGTGGTATACCACACGGACACGCTCGTCCACTGTCACAACTGAAGGTTGCCATGGTCATTTTGCGATTCAACAAAGATTCTTGATGCCCCGAGCGAGGGGGTGAAACACATACATAAAGACTAAGGGGCTGGTAGATGGGCTCACAGTCACTTTTTCCTCCACATCGTCACCACGGAAGACTGGTGGAGTGGAGGGCGAGCGTCCCACGGAGCAAATGTTTCCATCAAAGTTCCGCTGATCTGCAAAGTCATGAAGTTTTGATGTGTCCCATAGGCCCATGGGCGTGTTTTTGGATCAGGTCTCATTGCTTGGGCGGGGAATGTGTGGAAAGTCATTGGGCTTGGTTCGATGCTGTGTTTCTGTGTAGGGAAACTTGGGTTTGACACAAAGCTGATCATGATGAAGAGCGTCATGCTCCAAAGAAGGCATCCGCAAAAACAGATGCTGCCGCTTCTCTTGAACATCGGAGTTTGGTTTTGTCTTCAGCATGCAAGAGCTCCTGCCCTAAATCATGGATCGCAGTGGGGAACGTACGTGCGTAGAGAGACTGCCAAATTTGGGTAGATTTTGTCGATTAACTGTTGACTGTATGAAGATGTATGAAGTATATTGAAGTATGATGCAGAACCTTTCTGCATATTTACGCAGTCATCAGATCAACTCAGCGCAAAAATAATGACTTTTGTTGCTACTCCAGGAGTTCCAGAGACCCAACATATCCAAAGATGAATCTATACATGAACAAAACCATCTCTTTCATAGTCTAGTCAGTATTCACCACCTGTTTGGGTTGCAGGCGGAGCAGGAGTGGTCCGATCACGACCAGGTGGGGGCCCCCATGGTCGGGATCCGAATCCCTTGGACTCTTCGGAGAACACCGGAAGTGGTCGGGAGGTTTCGGAGGATCGAGTCGACCTTTTGACCACTTCTCGCAGTCGGTCGGTTGAGTCTTCTTCTCTGAGGCTTTTCGATGCATTGGGAACTTAGGACGGTTTAGGACGGTTCCAAGAAAAGGCATTTGACCGTTTGTGTCGGGAGACTTTCACCCAGTGGGTTGGTCCGATGAGCTGCGGCCGCTGTAGGTATATACGGTAGACGCACTTTTGAGTTGCTGCCACATATTTGTTGACTACACGTGGGAGCAGGACTGCATGACATTCTAAGTGAAAATCCGGGCCAAATTACAGGCACATTCCAACTTCCTCGCCAATAATTTTGGAAACCAAGACGCATTCTAAGTTCCAGTCCGGAACTATAAGTGGACCCCAGAAGTTGGTGACCTGAGTTCTACTGTTCTAAGTGTCTAAGACAGGTTGGGGCTTTGGATGACAACAGAAGGCCAAAGGAAGCAACGGATGCGGAGAAGACATTCACTATGACACCACTACGTTGCAATCCTGGACCGCTCGTTTTTCCAACATGTCACCTGGCTTTGGATCCGGCTGAGTGCTGTGACGAATGGGTACCGGCTGAGGACAGCTGTTGCGTTCTGCGCCAGCTTCACGACATCTGAGGTGCCAGCTTCACGTTGCCTTTCTACTGTGAACCTTGGGAAGTTCAGATGTTGCTGTGTCATGCGGAGCCCCAAAGATTAAGGACAGATGGAACCCACTGGTTTGGTATTTCCAGGCATGCACGATAGACACTTTAAAGAACACAATTTGTCTATCTCAAGTCGCCACAACTCCGCAGTCCATACTTATCCGAAAAGTTTGACAGACTACATTAATCTATATACTCCGAACACCTTCAAAGGACTCCGAGCTTCTCCACCAGATGACTTGTTCATTGCTCACAACATCGTTGACAGGCAGAGCCGGAAGGCAAGACCGATGCAGCAAATCTGGCAGATCTTGCCACTGAGAGAGCGGTGCTGGCGCGTGGGTCGGAATTTTGCATTGTGAGGATGGGGTGAGAAGGACATGGATAGATCGACATGGGTGTGCAAATGTAAAGCGGAGAGACCTCCAACCAATGAACAGGTCTAGTTTCCCTTCTGCAGGGGTTTGTACTTACAAGCACAGCTTTTTGGAATCTCGCAGTTGTAGCTCATGTTTTTGAACTCGGTGGCACTGGTTGCACCATCACCACCGGAGGCTCCTGGCGGGTGTTTGTGCTTTGCTGGGCGCATCATCGCTGCAGCTTCTGGCGCCTCCGCTACTCTCACGCGCTCTCATGGCCGCTGAGAAGGGGACGAAAGTGGCCCAGGCGCAGCATGGTTGTGGTGTTGGAGAACTTGCATATTGCATGATTCTGTTGAATTATATATATATATTTTATAATATATACTGTAGGTGCTGGCAAAAATTAAAACTTATACTTTTTCACTGTGCCGGCAACGATGCCAAAAAGATGCTCTTCCATCTTTTTGGCACCACCCTTGCAGGTGCATCTCCTGGCCTTAGTCGCACGGGATCTCAACGAAACGCGATGGATGGACTCGGTGGTGTAGGTGGATCCTCCTTGGCTCTTGTTGACTAAGATAGCTAGCAAGAAGCCATACAATTGAGGACTGGAGGTCCCACATGGTTATAGGTCCTGTCAGAGCACCAAGTATCTAAGTAGCAGTCATCTGCTTTCTCTGAAAGGAGATTCTCAACCTGCGTCAGCACTTCTGAACCTATTGTCAGATCTGGAAGGTCATAATAGTGATTTCTTTACAAAGAACAAATATCATAAACAATCTATTGTTATTTTTTTTGAGCTACTGATATACAGCTAACACCGGCTCAGATATTAATCCTGTTCTGTTGCAACTGAGATCATCATTTCAGAAAGCATGGCTGGTTTATGCACCGGAAGTTCAATGAAAAGAGCTGTGGGGACAAACATTGTCATGATTGGTTCATCCCAATCAGATGACCTGCTCCACCAGGGATTCCTGCTTTCATTATGAACAACACCCAACTATCATGCCACGGTATCGCCCAGTTTCTGAAACCTGAAGAAGGTCTTCGCCCGTGGCTCTTTTTTGTCCTCTGAAGAAGGTCTTCCTCTGCGGATCGACCAAGTCACTCAAAAGGCCATGCCATTCTGATGACTTTCGGCCAATGCCTTCGCATCCCAGAATGCCTCCGAAAGTCATCAGCTACAATGCCGCAATGTCGGCATGCGAGAAGGACTCTCAATGGCAGTCGGCCTTAGAGTTCTTCGCTCAGATGCAGATCAGGACCCTTTTGCCGGACACCATCAGCTACAATTCGGCCATCAGTGCCTCTTCCAAGGCTTCCAAGTGGCAAGTGGCGGTACACTTCTTGAGCGCGATGAGGATGTTGTCAGGGCCACCCTTTCCAAATGTCATCAGCTACAGTTCTGCGATTTCTGCTGCAGGCAGGGGATTGCAATGGCCAGTGGCTCTACAGATCTTTGACGAGATGGCAGCTCAACTGGGTCAGCCTGATGTGATCTGCTGCAGTTCTACGATCAGCTCATGTGAGCGATGCTCGCAATGGCAATGGTCAGTTTATTTTTTCGATATGATTACGGAGGTTACCTTGCGACCCAATGTCATTTGCTACAGTGCTTTGATCAGCTCCTTGGAAAAGGGTTCCAGATGGCAAGCTGCTTTGGAGACCTTCCACCAGATTTGTGCTGAACGTCTTACGCCAGATGTTGTGAGCTACAGTGCCCTGATCAGTTCATGTGAGAAGTGCTTCAAATGGCAATTAGCCCTTCACTTCTTCATAACCATGGCCACAGAAAAGACGAAGCCCAACACAATCACATACAATGCTTTGATCAGCTCTTGTGAAAAGGCATTACAGTGGCAGCTAGCGAGCGATCTCTTTGTCAGGATGTTGACAAACCGCATCACGCAGAATGTTGTGAGCTACAATGCCCTCTACCTTGTGCCAGCACATTTTCCAGCACTTTTAGAAATGACACTGACATAGCCATCAAGTCATTCGTTTTCCCACAGCTGACAGCCATTTGAGCCTCCAAGTTAGAGAACACCAGTACACCCCACATGAAATGAACACCCTGGACCAGGATTTTACTTCAAAGTGGTTCTGGGAATCCAGATGAGTCTTTGGATGGAGTCTTTAGGCATCATTTCGGAGTGCTAAATTCGAGCTGACTCAGGGTGCTTTTTGCAAGATGATGGAAAGCATGTCCATCCCCGGGTCCATCCCCCCATCTTTCTTCGACCCGAACTGCCGGTGAGGCTCTGATCAGCAGCTTCGAGAAGTCTGCCCAGTGGCCGCGTGCTGCACAGCTCCTGGAAGCGCTTCGACCGCGACTGAGCTCGTGCGGACTCCGTGCGAGTGCAGTCAGCTTCAACGCGGTCATGAGCTCGTTGGAGAAAGGACAACAGTGGCACCGGGTGTTCGACTTTCTGGATACCATGGAGGTGAACGGATCAGTTGCAAACATGATCACCTACAATGCTGCGATCAGTTCATGTGGCCAAAGATGGTGGGAGGCCTTGAACTTCTTCGTGCGAAGTCGTGGGTCGCACAATGTCATCAGCTACAGTGCAATGCTGAAGTCCTGTGAGAACGGGCAATGGCAACTGGCACTGGAGTTTCTTCAGCGGATGAAGAAGGAACAGCTTCTTCCCAACCTCCTCACTTGCAACGCCCTAATCTGCTCCTGTGAGAGGGGCTCACAGTGGCAGGCAGCACTGGAGATCTTTCACTCCATGGAGGTCCAAGGAGTTTCTCCAGACATTTTGACCCTCAGCACTGCATTCAGCTGCTGCCAGATGGGTTTTCGCCCAGCCTTTCTGACCACCCTGGCTGGGAAGGCCTTTTCACTCCTTCGCAGCGAAAGAAGGGCCAGAATTGTTTCGGGGGACCTCGAGGAAGCTGATCTGAGAGGTCTCCCAGCGCGGTCCCCTTTTGCTTCCGACCAAGGCAGCCGGGGTGGCCTTGTGCCAGGGTCTTCGGGGCTACGCGTTCCACATGACGCGCTTGGGCTTCGTGGGAGCCTTGCGACAAAGGGCCTTCCAGTGCTACATGCCCCTTGGCCAAGAGTTTTTTTGTGGGGTGGAGACTGGTTTGGGCTGGTCTGGCTTGTGGCCTAACTACGGAATATACGGAATACACAACTTTGCGAACTGAAAAGGCTGAAATTCGAGACACCACTCCTGCCCACTTTGGGAGGCATTTGTGTGGTGTGATGGACTTTTTGTGAACAGACACTTAAATAAAACCTGGAGTCTTGTTTGGGGTTCTTGCCGCACACAAAGCCAGTGCTTTGAGTGATCTGCTACGTACCAAGGGCGCGACATGAAGACATCATCTACTAGGGGCTCCTGGCCTTACTAGTGGACACCAGTGGTGAAGCTTTCTCGACCGAATCGTGAGGTCCAAGGACATGACCTTCTATGACAAGGCGAGGTGGACTCCCGTTGTGGTCCACCGAAGAGGTCTGAGATGCTCTCAGCCCCGGTAAACCACAGAAGCCAGCGGCTATTTTTTATCTTTCTCAGAGCTTTGTAACAGCAGGACCTTCCAACCAGGTGCTTTTGGCTGTAAGATAGTCCACCTGGAAGGTTTGTTGATGGTCCACAGCTGCCAAATAGCTCATTGAAGGTCCTGCTACCCAGCCTTCGTGTCCTGTTGTTTGCTCGTGAGGCTGTCCGGGACCAACGTGGAAGCGTTATATGAGCGCACATGAGCACACAAAATGGACTCAAATCAAACACACCAGAACGTCGGGATCAAAGAGATGATGCGGCCAACGAGATCCTCGAAATTACCAAGTTGCCAACAAAACGGGGCCAAGTCTGGTGTAATTCTTCAGCTGACCACACCAACGATGCAACCTGGGGTGAACATCCGGTTCGTGAGTCATCCATCGGCGCCTTGGTAGGTTGATGCAGCTGAGCTGAGCTCGCGTCTCACTTCGGACTGCCAACTGGCGCGGTGGGAGTGGGGGGGGGAGACCGAGACCCTGACGGATCTCTGCTCAAAGAAGTACAAAGAGAGGTTGCTGGTGCCAGAATTTTTGAACCAAGCCATCTCCAGAATCCCGTAAAGGTTGCTGGCATGTTTGCTTGAGGAAGGGTGGCGTTACAAGCTTTACTTATAACATATTACACTTTATGCAACAAGGGATGTGTGTGAGTGCTCCAGACCGTGGCCGTCCCCCAAATCCGATCGCTCAGCTAGAGAGACCTGAAATGGGCCAAGGCCAGTTCGGGAAGGAGAAGCCGCCTTGGGGCTGTATTCCGACTGACTTGAGAGATTTCCTCAACTCCCTTCTGGAAACCTGACCAAAAAGGCTTCTTCTGGATTCTGGACAGCACAAAAAGCTAGACATTTGCAACAGCGGTGACCTTCTGACAGCGGATGAGCGAGAGTATCTAGACCAAGCCGCGGATGCGTTTTTCTTCCTCCAGCATGTTTTGGCTCAGATGGCGCACAAAGTTCACGCAGAAGATGTGGTTGGCAACTCTGACCTGCTGAAATTACGAACTTTTGATGACCCCTCTTTTGTATAAGGAAGCTCAAGAGGATGAGTATCATCATGTTGACTTACAGGGAGCGATCAAGGATGTTTTCCCCCCTTCTTTGGGTGGGCGACTGATGCTCCAGGAACCAAAGAAACATGTTTCCCCACCAGGCATGAATGAAAGGACTGATGGATCTGACTTGAGCAGTTTAAGCTTTGGATTCAACTCACCGCACCAACGAGGCTGGTATGACTTCAGCTGGGCTGAAGGCAGTTTCCCTGTGTGCTTCCGGCCTGGGGGGGGCCTTCTACTGCCCCAAGTTCCCGCAGGGTGCCACCTGGAACCTGGATGGATCTGTAGTGAAAATTGACTGGAAGAGATTTGGAACCTTGGAGCTGCTTCCTTATATTTTGATATTTTCCAGTTCCATATTTTGTGGCGGTTTTCCGCCTTTGGGGCTTGTGTGGTGAACCTTCGTAAAGCCTAGCACAAGTTCAAAGGGTCTCCAATGCCGTGGACAAATAATTCTAGAGCGAGTGGTACGAATCACGGTCCATCAACAGCGATGGACATGCACAACATCATTGTCCACAAGCCCTTTGGCCCAACAACAACTTCCACTTCCCTGTCCCATCCGCCCTCCTGGTCGTCTCGAACTTTGTTTTCTGAGGAAAGTTCGAGCTCAAGTTCGAGGCAAAGAGCAAGTCAATGAGCGGTCGTTCGAACAGCCCAGAAGCTTGGCATGGCCCAGTCACTTCTCCATCTGACGGGGGTCGGGCGAAGTCCAGCTTTCAAGGGGAACCAAAGAATCGCAATTGGTCACCAAACCGAGTAACCGACCTCTCCGGAAACAGACCCTCTGTGGAACCTCCGCTCCTTTCACCACGGTGTCCGATGACGAGGATCACTCCTGGCGGAGTGCCACCTGGATGGGCCCTTTGAGCCCTGAGGAGCAGTTGCTTTTGGGCCATGGAGGAGGCTCCGAGTGGGTCTTCGTGTGGCAGCGGGGCAAGTTCCCGGTGAAGTTCAAGGAGCGCCCAAAATAGCGGGCTCCGTCCGTGACCGACGCGCTGCTCGTAGCATGTTCGGCCACCCATACAATGTCACCTGTGTCCAGATGTATTGAATCGAGAATACATTCTATATAAATATAGACACACTGTCTTTTTGGCTTTGGGGGGTATGATCTTCGCTGCGGTACTGTAGATGCTGGTCAACCATGTTACACGTTTTGGGTGTGGCCCGTTGGTCTGATGACGTTTGAAGTGAGCGAGACGAGAGGCAGATGGTCGCAACCGCTTTCAGTGTGAGTTCTTTCCAGCCCATGCCCACTGGTCATTGGAGGGCAAGACACTGAGAATCGACTGGTGTGACTATGGCACATACGAGCTCGTGGTCAATGTGACGGAATGCTCCATGGAAGGATGTTTGGTTGGAGGCGATCCAGAAAAAGATTGGCGAAAGGCCAAGTTCATGAACCATTTGGCGATTTCGCAATGCAAGTGCACTGAAGAAGTCGTGCTTTGCGAGCTTTTCGAACCTTTATGCACAATTAGCTAATTGAGGCAGTCAAGGCTACACGGAGTTTGGCTCCAAGGTTTTGATCAGTTGCCTTGACTAACACGATCCAAGAGATGTTTTGAGGATTTGTTGAGGTCATGCTATGCCGACGATTTGTTGAGGATTTGTCTACTTTTCACCTGGTATCATAGCCAGATTCTGAAGCACCTTGCCTCGGCAATGTTTGCTACTGCAGAAAAAGGTGGTGACGCAGACATTTGAGGGGTGGTTTCGATGCTTTGATGCCCAAAGCATGATAAGGGGCAGTGGGACTGGCAAATGCCAAACTCCATCACTGCAAACTATGTCCAGAGCTGTGACCTTAGCTGGCCGAAAGATCCTTGGGCTATCTTGGAAGACCTGCAATTCATTGCAGATTTGATTTGGGGAAGACACGAGGGGTCTGCTCATCTACTGGATTCTGCCAGCACCCACATTTCTTTCCAAGTATGCTCTCGTCATTTTGGATCGTCATGCTTTGCACGTTTGTCATCTCTTTTCCTTCGAAACTCGACCAGCGGCTGCTCACAGCTTTCTGCACAGACTACGAGCCGACAGAATCTTGGACCTGAAAGGCCCAAAATTTTGATTAAGAGAGAGGGTATCCAACCTCAAGTCTGGGGTGGTTTCCGTGGAGTTGTAGAATACAACCGCCATGAATGCGAACATTGCTCGAGATGTTGCTGGGCTCTTCCAGAGAGGGGTTCACTTGGCAGCAAGTTGGGATACAAATAGGATGGAGCGTAAAAGCCCCCTCGATTGGTTCGCAGCCAGCAGCACCTAAGCTCACTCTCTTGGGGAAGAAAAACTAATGGAGAAGTCCTGGAGGCTTTTCCATCCAGAGGATGAGCTGACACTAGATTAGATGTTCACTGGCAACTTCCATGCTCCAAAGCACCAGTCTTTTTTCCACGGGTTCCAGCAAAGTGACGGCTTGCAACCATGCACTTGTGGAAGTTTGAGCCGAAATGATCATTTCTGTCCACACACACAACATCGTTGGTGTTTTTCTGTCGTTCCTGTCCACCTGGACCCCAGAGTTAGCTCCGATCTATTTGCAGGCAAAAAGTTGCCGAAGGCATCCTGCGGACAAAATACACCTGCCTTCAGTCGCTGAAGAGTGAAAGATGCAAGGGTGACTCTTGTGCGGAGTTGGTGTATGGGTGCCTATTGTAGGAGTTCACCTGCGAGAAGAGTTTTGGGACCAGAAGTAAGGTCTTCCATGGCAGTTTGTGAGACAACTCTACCCTCCCAAGCACGAGGTGATGAATCTGGAATCAAAGATCCAGAAGAAAGATGTCGTTCTTGATCTATCCCCCAAGCCATGTAGCTCCCAAGCCCACACATGGATCCCAGCGAAGGCGGTTTGGGTCACTCCAGTTCGCTTGAACATCCGGACAGAATTGAATCTGGATAAATAGCGTCCTTCTTGTTCCATTTTTTCAAATTGTTTTCTACATATTTCCAAAATACTCCAATATTCGATCCAAAAGTCTGTCGCAGGTCTTCGCCAGCCTGGACGACGTGCTGAACTTCCTACTGCGCTCGGGAGCCGTGACCCTCTTTGGCTCCTTGGAGATGTCGGGGACTTCACCAGATGATGCGCAGGGTATGCACATGGCGGGGGGATGTACACTGTAGTGTTGGATGATAGATGATGTTAGATGTTCAGCCACCGTGCCGGTTTGGGAAGGCTCTATTGATCCGGGCCCGAGGTTCTACTTGGTACATCGTTGAGAGTGAACTGGAGAACATGGAACTGTCTTTTGCAGACCAGGAAAAGCACTGATGACGAATCAATCGAGTTGAGGTGAGTCGCCAACAAAGACTGTGTGAAATACTTGGCTTTCTTTAGATACAGTCGACGAGGAGCTTTCAGTTGAGCTGGTGAAGGCCAGTTCCCAGGCTATTTGACCGGTGCTCTCACCGTGCTCAGGCTACTTGGCCATGCTACGGTGCTGTTGGCAGCTGACGCTGGTGACCACGTTGGTGATCGCGCTGCTTTTACTGGCGACGCGCTGCTACGCCGAGGCTCTTGAAGTGGTTTACAAAGACACTCTAAATCAGATCTCAGTGGTGATGAGTCTTGAGGTTCACCCATGGTTCACTACACCAACACTTGTGGAAAACATGGGAGAATTTGGTCCTTTCAGCATCCTTAGCTCAAGATTGGGGTCGGAACGGAGGATTCCAGCAACTCCTTGACTTCAGAATTGGATGGTTCAATGTGTAAGTCCGTGTGAATCTATCAGCAAGGTCAGTCAGCACATGAGTATATATATATATAAGTTGGTTGAGTCGAGTTCAAGCATTACATCCTGGTCGGCCAAGCACAGGTGCGACGGGCAACTACTGCAGAGACACAGGAGTGGCCCTGAAATATTTCATTCAACTAGCTGGTTTGGTGCGTGCACACAGCAAGTTGAGGGAACGTTTGGGCCCTGGGTCATGCAGTTGGTTGCACTGACAAATTTATACAGCACAGTCAAGCGGCACCGAAGGTTTCCAGAGGCATCTAGATCAACAAAACAATAAAACGAGCATTAAACACATATAAAGATGATAAACAAAAAAATAACGGATCAACAAAAATATTCCTTGATAGGCCTTTTCTGCTGCTCTCCTGGCCCTGTGGTCTGCAGGTCCTCTGGTCCTTTGGTCCGCTGGTCCACTGGTCCTTTGGTCCCTTGGTCCTCTGGTCCACAGGCCCTTTGGCCCCCTGGTCCTTTGGTCCTGGTCCGGTCCCGTGGTCTCCTGGTCCTTTGCCCTCCTGGTCCTCTGGTCTGCGTGTTTGGTCCTTTCTCTTGTAGCTTATTGGCCGCAAATTTCCTGCAAACGTACAATGCTTTTGGCTTCGGTTGCCTTAGGTCCTTTTGTGCGCTTTTAGATGACCTTCACTGAAAGGGCGATAGGGTACATAGTTCTTGACTAGACAGTTTCTAGTGATTTCTTTTGTGGTGCTGTGTTTTAACGTTTGGTTGGCTTTTGGGGGGGAGGCGCTGCGCCCTCCTCCCCAACCCCCCTCCAGCACCACAAAATCTGCACTCTTGCACTGCGCCTGCCACGAAAACTAACAATGTAAAGGGTCGCCCATCGCATTTGCAGATTGTCCTCCTCTTGCCCTTGTCTTGGCCGCGCCCCTGTCTGTGGGGCTAGATTTTTTTGATTCCCTTTTTATGTTCTTTTGATCCCCGTTCAATATTTTTCCCCAATAGCCATGCTATGGGGTCTTGCAAAACTAATAGGCGGACGGGCGCCGTCGGGTCACCGTCAGAGCTGGTGGGCGGATGGTGTCCCGGTCATGTTGTGATAGTGTCCCGGTCATGTTGTGATGGTGTCCGGGTCATGTTTTGATGGTGTCCCGGTCATGTTGTGATGGTGTCCCGGTCATGTTTTGATGGTGTCCC